TCCATTGGTCTGTGGGTCTGTTTCTAGCCCAATACCATGCTGTTTTAGGTACTACTGCTTTGTAGTATAGTTTAAAGTTTGGGTAGGTGATGCCCCCCATCTTCTATTTCCCAGGGATTTATATAGCTATTGGTGGGGGTTGGTTCTTGTTCCATATGAATTTCAGGAGTCTTTTGTCTATTTCTTTGAAAAATGTCATGAGTATCCTTATGGGGACCACATTAAATCTATATAGTGCTTTGGGGAGTGTTTCCATTTGATAATGTTAATTCTCCCTATCCATGAGCAGGGATGTGTCTCCATTTCCTAGTGTCCTCTATTATTTCTTAAAGTAGTGTTTTGTAATTTTCCTTGTATAGGTCCTTCACATCTTTAGTTAAGCTGATTCAGAGGTACTTGATTTTCTGAGGTACTATTGTGAATGGGATTTTTTTAATGTATCTTCTCTTTCGTTATTTGTAGCCTTTACATATATGGCTACTTCAGAGAGGTATTTATTCACCTCAATGGAAGATATTTTAATTATTTCTTAGATTGTCACATTTAGTGACAGAAGAACATATTTGGCTCAAGTGTGAAAAATTTTTATAACTCTTCAAATCTGAGTAATAATTGAACTGATAGAGTATTCTTGATTGGAGTTCTTTCTGATTCAAAGCTCTCTTTTTACAATTTTTTCTCACCTGTAGAGTTGTCATTGGTAAAACTGTTATGAATATAAAACTTATCTTTAATATGTCTTTACTTTTGCTGCTTTTAGGATTTTATTTTCTCTTCTTGGCTCCTAACATCTTAATTGCAATGTGCCTTGGTACTAATTTCTTTGAGGTTATTTTCTTTAGACTATGTCTATTGGACTGAGAAAATTCTAAGCTATTATTCAATCAGCTAACAATTTTTCATTTCTCTCTTTTTCTTTCCTTCTTATGATGTTAATGTTATTTATAATGTTGACCCAGGTAGCATGTGTAGAGCCAAGCCAGTGTATTGATGAGTACTGACGGCAGATTCTTCAGGTTTGGGGGTCTGACCTTGTCTGGGCTGGGTGCTATTCACTTCTTTACTAACGAAATGGTGTATCAGATTTCAGAAGGGAGAACATTGGGAATGACATATTTATCCTGCAGAATTTGGTATGTGGGCAGGTGGACATGGCTATCAAAGAGATCCGGGTAGAAGTCATGGATAATCTTCTCTATTGCCCTTCTGGAAGATGTGATAGATCGATCAGAAAGTTGGAGAGCAGTCATCTTGTTCTTGTAGTTGGTGAAGGACAAGCGGGCATTGCAAATGCTTTTCCTGGCTTCTGCCGCATTGGCCAACACTGCTTCTCTTCTATATTTGAGGTCTTCCTTTATCGCCTCTCTGAACTGCTTTTAGAGCTCGGACATTAGCTGTGGTTCCCTGAGGCTCGCTCCAAGAAAGTTAGCAAATGAGCTTGAGAGTATCTGAAGTCAGGCATCTTTTTGTGGCTTTTTCACTCTCGGCATTCCTTGCACAATCATGGAGGTGCTGAACCAGTAGATCATATTCCTGCATGATGTCATCAACGATGGCATCTTCCCATGTTGCCACAATAATTCCAAAGAGCTCCCAGTTGGTGGTGGTTCTGGGAGTTCTCTTCTTAAACTTTGCTGCCCTTTCTCCCCACTCTGTGAAGTAGATATTGCACAAAGGAGATGGTTGTCCGATCCCGTTTGGAATTTTTGGACAACAGTGACATCAGTCAGGCAAAACCGTTGATTGAATATTGATGTGGTCATTTTCATTGTGGAACTGTCCACCGGGAGACTTCCATGTCCAACATTTAGATTCAGCCTTCTGGAATTGCAAGTTACCATGGATGGTCTTGGTGGACATGATGAACTAAGACAGTCTCTCCCGCTGTTTGTTCCATTTTAGGCCATGGTTCCCTATATGGAGTCCTTCGGCCAATCTTTTGAGTCCTATCTTGGCATTAAAATCACTGACAATGATCTTGTAGTAGGTGTGGTCTTCTTTATAGAACTTCTCCAGCTTCATGTAGAATTTCTCAATTTCTTCTTCATTGTAGTTTGATGTTGGTGCGTAGATGACAAAGATAGAAAATGCCGACAGTGAGCCACATCTATTCAAGCATAAGTGTCCAATTTGGGATGTTATGCATTCGAATGAATCAATGCTCATGGTCAAGTTTGTGTTATGAGGACACTGACACCACCAACGCCTCTTTTGTTGCATGTTCCGAGGAGCAGTTCTTTTCCAGTGTCAGTGCTGGCATGATGTGGTTGATGCCTTCTTGTCTTGGTCAGATCAATAATGTCATACTTGTTCTGCACTTGCACCATCAGGTCCTCGATGGATGTTTCGATGCCAGCATATGTGCATTGATACTACAGTCATTTTAGTCCTTTTTCTTTTTGGCAGCCTAGTTTGGCCCTGAGATTTTGTCAGCTGCTTCTTGCACATCCTTCTTAATGCTACCTTATTCGGGGCTCTTTCAGGGTCAGGGGAATGAGGCCCATTGTTTTTACTGTTTTTGCATATCGAATACGCCACGCTAGCTTGCCAGGCTCTGCCATGTGGGTGAGATATTATCGGTAGCCTGTCGGGCTCTCTGAAAAGGATGGAGGCTTTTAGGGTGGCCTCTAATCACTCTTATAGTTGTTCCCATGGTTCACACTATATTTGAACCCCATTGAATATGGTGTGTTAATCTTGGAAGATGGCTATTAAGTGTCTTAAAATGTGTCCGGAAAGTGGCCTGGAGCATGGCGGGAGCTGGATATTGGAGGTATGAATGTAAGGTTACTTCCTAAAGGAAAACCAGCAGAACCATTGTACTGTACAAGAATGGAGACTTCTACAACATTGGCAACTATCACCCAATCTGTCTATTGTCCATCGTCTATAAGCTGTTCATTCAAGTCATCCTGAATAGGATTGGCAGAACACTAGATGAAGGACAACCATGTGAGCAAGCTGGGTTCTGGAAAGGATTCAGCACAATCCACCATATCCACACAGAAACCAAGCTCACTGAGTTTTTTTGGAAATTAAAGATGTCAGTCTGTCTAGATTCTGTTGAGACTGAAGTGGTCATCAAAGCCCTAGTCAAACAGCGCTTTCAACTCAATACATCAGGATCTTTCATGAGCTGTATTTTGGATTCACTACCAGGATCTCAACATTCTACAAGGAAGTGATCATCGACATCAAGAGGGGATTGGCAGGGTGATACCATTTCACCGAAACTCTTCAGTGTCACCCTCGAGAATGTCATGCGACAATTGGAATGGGAAGCAATGGGAGTGAAGATAGATGGTCGGCAACTACACCACCTCCATTCCACTGATGACATCATTCTAATAACACCAAACATTAGCCAAGAGGCACAAATGCTGGCGGACTTTGACCATGGAGTGTGGAAAGGTAGGACTGCAGCTGAATCTCACCAAGACAATGCTCATGAGAAACGTACTCGTTCCTGATGTTCCATTTGCTCTCAACTGAAGGAACATTTCCAAATGCAGCAGTTATGTGTAGTGAGGTCAAGAACTCAACATGACAAATAACCTGGCACATGAGCTGCTCAGGAGAAAGAGAGCACTGTGGAATGCCTTCAAGAACATTTAAGAAATTGAGAGCGCAATGAACCTCCGGTCTGGACACATCCACTGTTCTTCCTGCATTATCATACGCCTCATAGAACTGGGCCCTATGAAAACAGGATAAGAACGCTATTTGAGTCTCCCAAAGAGGAATCAAAAGAGCTATGCTTGGAGTATCACACTTGATTCAAGTGAGAGAAGGAATCTGGAGTTCTGACCTCTGTCAGTGATGGAGAATCAGGGATGCTGTCTCATTTTCCAAGGCTTCAAAATCAGATGGCCTGGACAAGTAATGCGATTTGGAGAAACTTCTGGACTAGAGCTATTACCGACTGGATTTCATGGGACATCAAAAGATCACGTGGCCACACACCTGTGAGATGGTCAGACTTCTTCGTCACTATCCTGAACAATTGGTTTGAGGCTCTTCATGTTTCTGAAGTGAGCAGACACCATTTGGCTACACTAGACGTGACAGGGACGGATGGAGACATTACTGGAGTCTGGTAAAGCAAATTGATGAGTAACGGGATGTCAAGTGATCAAATGATTGATATTGACCCATAAACTCTTTATTTATGTTTAATATTTGTTTTAGATTTTTTATTATGGTTTTCTTTAAATTATTTTTGCATTCGTTGATCTAATCTTTGATTTTTCCAATTTTCATCTGATTCCTGCTACTGAGCTTTTTTAGTTCAACTACTGTAATCCATAGTTTATTTCTTTTTGGATTTTTTCATGTTTTCTTTCACCATTGATGTGTTCTTAATAAAATTTTCTTTCACTGATTTATTCATTCCTGTGAAAATCATTAGGATTGTTGCTTGAATTTCTTCCTATTGAGTTAGAGAAAAGTCTATTATGTTTGAAATACTTTCTGTATTTTTATGTTCATCTATAGTACTAAGTTTTCATGTTTCATTATTTTTGGTACTACTTGAGGGATATAGGTAAAAGTTTGAGTTTGAATCAGCCAATGAGCAATTAATGGTTTATTATAGCAAATTCCTACATGGTAATTGTGATTCTAAGTCTGTATACAGTGGTACAACTACTGAGAATTTCTAATATTTGCCACTGCAATTTGCATTGCCTATGTCACTAGAGTTAAAAGATCTGGAGGTACCATTACAACAAATTCCAAGAACCTGGGCAGTAGTTGTCAGGGAAGTAGGACTTGGAAGTGCCCTGGGATAGCTGTGTGCCAAGTTTTTCCAGTCTCAGGGGTATAGATTTCTGTTACAAATGCACCAGTGCATTCAAAGACTTTTATTGACAGAATCTTATTATTAATTAGGTGTATCAGATGCCACAGTCTGGCAGTCACCTGCATACCCTCCTGTGGTCACACAGTACTATGCATCGGAGAGTAGCCTGTAGGAAAGACAGGTACAAAAAGCAATTAGAAGCTTCCTGTGCTTATCACAATCTGTGTCCTTTACACTGACTGCCTAAAAAGAGGAGTTCTATGTAAATAAGTCTACCTTATATAAACTTCAGCCCAGGCTCTTTGTCTAACCAGTATTATGACCAGAGGAAAGTGGTGGTGGTGGGCAGGGGGGCAAGGGAAGACTACAAAAATCTTGAGCGTTGAGCCTGCCTCAGGAGCTGAATGTTCACAGAGCAGATAAAGGCCCTTGAGGGCCAGAAATGCTTTGAAGGCATGACCTCCTTATTAACAGGCACCTATGTGTTGGGAGTATTGAGTCTGTTGGATTGGCTAAGCAAGGAACACTACAGTTTGTTCAGTTATTAGCCTGGGATAGGTGCAACTCAGTTTAGAAGTGGCATGGTCAGGAAAATGGTGAGAGTCCACTAACATAGTGCCTACTGTTGACTCCATTCTGTGTCCTACTCACACTCTTGCCTCCCAGGCTGCAGAAATAGAATAGTAGAGGTTGGGGAACAGGATGTTCATTGAAAATATGCCTGTTTCCCAGGGAAGTGTTCAGTACCTCAGAACGCCTTAGTAACTGAAACTTACTTCCAATACCAAGTTCTCTCTTTTTTTTTTCAAAGTGATACAACATTTGTCAGAGGAAGATATTCCTCCTGGAGGAAAGTTTTGACTCTTCAACCCAACTGGAGAGTTACTCTATATCCCAAGTGATGGAGCTTTAGCAAGCGTTGGCAATTCATCTGAGTTATTGTAAAACTGTGCCTTGTTCAAGTAAGACCACTTCCTAAACATCTGCCTCTTTGGTCATCTCATCTTTTTGGCCTTCTTACTCTCAAAATTGTTTTGTTTTGTTTCTGGCTCACACCTGCGTTACTCAGAGATTACTTCTGATTTTGTCCTCAGGAATCTCTCCTGATGGTACTTAGAGGACTATACACCATGCCTATGACTGAACCAGGTTTGTGATATGCAATGCAAATGCCTTTATCCTGGTAGTTTCTCTCTATTCTTCTCACTCAACTTTTTTCTATAGATTATATCTCTATACATACCATGCTGTCAAGCATTCTGCATATCAATAGTCATTGTTCTACAAAATTACTGTAGATATCCACTGTAGATATCACAGATAACTTAAACAATATATCAAAACCATACTCCTTATGTTTTGCTTCTCTCTTGTCTATTCCTATCCTAGTGGTTCCAATCTCAGTAAACGATAACTCCACTTGTTGGTTACACTATATTCATATTACTATATATACTACACATAAAACTTTGACTTTACTGGTTTTGCCAACTATCATATATGTTTTAATAGAAAATTCTTTCAGCTTTATTTTCAAAATATATACTGAATTTATCTCTTTCACCGGCTCTCAGACTTTCTATGTAAACCTAAATTATTATATTCTCTTTTCTGGATTATTTAGTAGTCTCTAATTGGCTCCATGCTATCACTGATATCACTCTTGCTTCTCAAAAGAGTGATAGTAGCTGCAGTGATGTTTTAGCAACATAATTCAAATAGTTTCATTGCATAGCTTAAAAATTTCAACTGCTTTCCATCTGCCACAGAATGCAATTCCAATTGTTAATTAGGATCTACAGGGTCCTAAAGATCCATGTTTTTGATTACATCTCCAAGTGCAATTTTTTTTAATTTTTATTTTTAATTGAATATCTGTGAGATACAGATACAAATTTTCATGTTTGAGTTTCAGTCATGCAATGAACAAACACCCATCCCTCCACCAGTGCACATTTTCCACCACCAATGTCCCCAGAAATCCTCCCCGCCCCCATCCTAAACTTCCCCCTGCCTCTATGGCAGACAATTTCCCCCCCACTCTCTTTCTACTTTGGGGCATTATGGTTTGCAATATACATATTGAGAAGCTATCACGTTTGGTCCTTTATCTAGTTTCAGCACACATCTCCCATCCTGAGTGATTTCTTCAACCATCATTGACTTAGTGATCTCTTCTCTATTCCAGCTTCCTTCTTTCCCAACTCATGAGGCAAGCTTCCAACTATAGAGCAGTCTTCTTGGCTCTTGTCTCTGCTGTCCTTGGTTGTCCATCTTCTATTATGTTATTTTATATTCCACAAATGAGTGCAGTCATTCTATGTCTGTCCCTCTCTTTCTAGCTTATTTCACATAGCATGATACTCTCTATGACCATCTAAATGCCCTTGCTGTGTTTCTTATTTATCTAGTCATCTGTTTTAGACACAGGCTATTTCCAAGTCTTGGCAATTGTGAATTGTGTCTCAGTAAACGCAGGTGCACATGTGGAATTTTTAAATAGTGTTTTGGGGGGCCTTGGATTAGATGCCAAGTAGTTTAATATGTAATGTGAAAGTTCAGTACTTAGATTTTTGATAAGTATCCATGTTAATTTCCAAAGAGATTGAAACAACTGGTATTCCCACCAACTATGGTTAAGTTTTCCTTTTTCCTAGCAGTCATGCCAACAATGATTGTTTTTGTTCTTTCTAATATGAGCCCGTCTCACTGATGTGAACTGTTCTTTAGATTTTCACTTGCTAATGATAAGTGATGAGTAGTGTTTTTGCATTTACCCATTGACTATCTATATATTTATCCATTGACCATCTATATATCTTCTTTGTTCTCCATATTTTTATTTTTACTTTTTGTACTGAATTTTGTAATTAAGTAAACTTTTTGTACTTCTATATATTTGATATTAACTCTTGATTAGATGAGCAGTAAGCAAATACTTTCTCCTAGTCTATGGCATGTATTTTCACTTTATAATTTTTTACATTGCAGAAACCTCTTAATTTGATGTGAAATAGACATGGAAAATAATTACATCCCCTGTTTTAACTGGGTTGACTAATATTGTTAAAATGGCCAACCTTCCTAAAGTACTCTACAGATTTAATGTAGTCCTTATTAAAAATACCCAGCATGATTTAGACATAGACAAAAATAGTCACTGTCACTGTCCTCCCGTTGTTCATTGATTTGCTTGAGCATGCCCACTAACATCTCCATTGTGACAATTGTTACTGTGTTTTGGCATATCGAATACGTCATGGGTAGCTTGCCAGGCTTTGCCATGCAGGCGAGATACTCTCAGTAGCTTGCCGGACTCTTTGAGATGGGCGGAGCAATTGAACTTGAGTTGGCCATCTTGGCTGCTTGCAAGGCAAACAACAATAGTATTAAAATTATTAGATTTATTTACTTTATAGATTATTATATTATAATATTTTGAATATTCGAATTTCAGCGGTAGGGCATTTGCCTTGCATGCAGCCTGCCCCACCAACCCAGGTTTGATTCCTCTGCTCCTCTTGGAGAGCCTGGCAAGCTACCAAGAGTATCTCACCTGCACAGCAAAGCCTGGCAAGCTACTCATGACGTATTCGATATGCCAAACACAGTAACAAGTCTCACAATGGAGACATTACTGGGCCCACTCGAGCAAATCCATGAACAACGGGAGGACCGTGCTACATATAATAAAAATTGTTATTGTTGTTTTGGTTTTAGGTCCACATCTGTCTTACTTCTGACTCAGTGCTAGAGATTACTCCTAGTGGTGATCAAGAAACCATATGTGGTACAGGAAAAAATCAAGACAATATGGGTGCTGGATTAAAGACTACTCTCAGACCAATAGAAAAAAATAAGAGTTCAGTATTAGCCACTCAGAATATGGTCATCAAATTTTCAACAAAAAATCTAGGATGTGAAATGAAGAAAAGAATCTAAGATGTTAAACTCAGACCCCTATCTCACACCTTACACAAAACATTCAAAATGGTTTGAATATCTCAGTCTGAGATCTGAATCCATAAATTATATTGACTAAAATATGCATAGAACCCTTCATGAATTTGAATTTAGAGGCATATTCAATGACAACAAAACTGGCCAAGTAAACAGAATTTTCTTTTAGCCATGCATTATTTTCCTTTCAGAGCATTTGTCACTTCTTGGCACATGTGCATTCCTGTGTTTATCTTATCCCATCTAAAATGTAAGCTTCATAAATCTAAATATTGATCTGCTCTTATTTCGCTATGCATGAACAGCATCTCTAAAAGTGTGACTGACATAGTGCAGTTATTCAATGAATATTTGTTGAGTGGAAAAAAATGTAGAATGGATTAGAAGACAAGGAGAAAGGAAAACAAATGATGATGACCCAGGTACAAACTTATTTATTTTCCACGCACCTCCTTTTAGCAGAATATTACATCATTATCTCATTTGCAAATAATCCTAAGAACCTCAAAACATTAATAAGTATTTAATAGATGTCAATGATATATCAAACATGACTCCATCTTTGAGACTCTACAATGAAAACTTGACAAAGATTCCTGACATCATGAAATTTGTGTTACTGGTTGTCCTTATGGTTACAAACTGTCAAACTGTCCTCCCGTTGTTCATCGATTTGCTCGAGCGGTCCCAGTAATGTCTCCATTTTGAGACTTGTTACTGTGTTTGGCATATTGAATACGTCATGGGTAGCTTGTCAGGCTTTGCCGTGCGGGTGAGGTACTCTCGGTAGCTTGCCAGGATCTCTGAGAGGGGCAGAGGAATCGAACCCGGCTCAGCTGGGCTGACTGCACGCAAGGCAAATGCCCTATCACTGTGCTATAACAGTTCTTATGTTTATGGTTAGATTTTTCCCTGTGTTTAGATCATTTCCTAAATGCTTCCAAATTAAGCTAAATTTTTATCTTTCAGGTTTTTGTCACTGAATATCCTCAGGTTTTTGTCACTGGTTTCCTCTGTACATATTAGTCTTATTTTACTGTAAGTAGCTTCAATGTAGTTTCATTTTTCGTTCCTCTGTTCTGCATAAACTTTTAACACATTTTATGAATTAGCATCTATATAAAACGTATGAAACACATACAGTCTTTTTAGACGAATTCTGAGACTTTACTATAATGCCCTCACCAAATTTCTCAGAAAAGAAAAACAAAAAAAACCCCAAAATCTCCATTTAGGCTAGAGCAATAGCACAGTGGGTAGGGCATTTGCCTTGCATGAGGCCGACTTGGCTGACCTGAGTCCGACTCCTCCGCCCCTATCAGAGAGCCTGGCAAGCTACCGAGAGTATTTCGCCCACACGGCAAAGCCTGACAAGC